TTGTTTATCTTCAAGCCTTTAAGACCCCAGACGCTATATCTTTTGATAGCCGGGTACCATGAGCTTTCTTCACCACATTGGCTTATGCACCCGCTTTGTCTTCAGCGATTGTGTCAGGAAGGTGAGCATCATGGGATGCCAGGTTATCAGAACAAAGTGTTCTTGCGTTTAGGAGAATTCATTTTATTTTTATTGTTGAGACGATGCTGCTGATGGCCAGGTAGATGGTTTCCACGTGTTGGCTCCTGTGAATAGTGCTGTGGCGAGCACTGGCTTACAGGGTCAGGTTTTCCTCAGTCTGTGCTGAGGAGTGGCATGGCTGGGTCTCGAGGAGTGGCATGGCTGGGTCACGTGGTAGTTCGGTTTTGGCTTTTGGAGGAGCTGCCCTAGGTTTCTCAGTGGTTGGACCAGTTTGCATTCCCACCAACAGTGGACAAGCATTGCGACTCTCCTGTCTTGTTGCCGAGATGGTCCTCGTGGGAGTCAGACCACTGACTCACCTGTTTTCTGACGTGCATCTCTGGGGCGGTGGAGGACTGTGAGTGTCTCTTCAGGGGTCTGCGGGCTGCTTTAGGGGAGATGTCCCCTTTCAAGCCCTTTGCCTTCTTAGGATTGGGTTATTTATCTTCCTAATGCTAAGTCGCCGAAGTCTGATAGGCATGTGGTTATGGGATTCTTGTCAGGTCTGCATGGTTTCCGGAGCTGCTCTTGCATCCCATAGCTTCTTCATTCCATTTTTTGACCTTGATAGTGAAGTCTCTTAGGTAAACCAGAAGTTTTTAATTGCTTTGAGGTGTATTTTACCTCCTGCTGGCTGTGCTTTGTAATGCTATTAGATAATCAATCATCGAGAGCTGGGTCTGATAGCCTTGCCCCTGTTGGTTCTTCTAAGAATTTCATGGTTTTCGTTTTGCACACCGAGGCCCTGATTCATTTTGAATTTTGCTTGTGTGTGTGGTGTGAGGCCTGGATCCGGTTTCATGTTCCTTCATTTTGGAAACCCAATTTCCCAGCACCATTGATTGACGTGATTCTTCTTTTGCTACTGACAACCTTGTCAAAAATCATTTGACCCTAGATGTGTGGATTGATTTCTGAGCTTTCCATTCACTCCGTGCTTATTGGTAGACATGCACCAGGCTAGGGTTTTATTTCTTTTCTTTTAAGCCCAAAATGTATTTCTTCAATATTTCCTACTTCATTTAACAAACATCACAGTACAGAGGTTTGACCCCGAAACTATAAAATACTCCTGTGTGTGTTGGGGGAGTTTTCTGACTTCCGTGAGATCACAAACGTTACGTTTCTCAGCACAGTGTTCAGTGCAGAGGGGCTGGGAGTTTTCCAGGCTGTTCTGATGATAGTAGCTTTGGAATATATTCTAAAATGAGGATGTGTGAATCCTCCTACGTTCTTCTCTCTCAACATGGCCTTAACTCTTTGGGGTTGCCCGCCAGCCCATAGAAAGCTGAGGGCTGTCTGTTCCGTGCCTGTGAAGAAGGCTGTCGGAGTTTGGATTGGGATCGCGTTGCATCTACAGATGGCTCTAGCCAGGATTGGTCTTCACGACTGCGATTCCTTAGTCTCCGCTGGCAGCGTTTTCTCATTTCCACAGGAGTTTCAGGGGCTGGCTTTTTCTTCGGAGGCACTGCTGCATGGACTTGAACCTCCACCTTTTCGGTTACTGGCTGAGTGTGTTTGCCCCTCCCAGGGCCTCCTCAGCGACGGACTCTGGGAGACACACGTGCACACATCTGTGTATCTGAAGGTGGTGTCGGGTCCGTTGGTATCTGGACTTGAGGCTTGATTCACGTACAAGACAGCTCACCTGCTGCTCGTGCACAGAACTCACCAGGTGCAGAAGTGAGGACAGCTGCAAGGACAGAACTGGTGGGTCAGTTCTTGCACCCCTGGGGGTCCCCTTGGGGTCAGCCCACCCTCCAGCTGCCGCTCTTCTGTTCTCCGTCCAGCTGTTCCACAAGTAGAGCCATGCCCTGTGGGGTGGCTTGACCATGGCATCTTACGTTTGCCGGTGGGCCAGGTTAGTGCCTGTGGCCACAGCCCCTTTATGGTTCCATTGCTGAGTAGTATTTGATGGTGAGACCTCGTCACTGCAGTTTATCCAGCCCTGAAGGGCAGAGCTTTCCTCTCAGTGCCAAAGGGCCCTGCGTTCACACGTGTGCTTCTCTGTTAACGCGTTGGGCGCAGCGGTGGCTTGGTCGTCAAATTTCTCATCTTCCAGGTGGGAGACTGGTTCAGTTCCTGGCGAGGGCCCCTCATTCACCGCCACCACCTGTCCGTTAGTGGAGGCTTGGTTGCGGCTAGGCTGCCAGATGGGTTTCAGCAGAGCTCCTGGACTAAGGTGGCCCAGGAGAAAAACCCTGGCAATCTCTTCTGCACATGAGCCAGTGAAGAGCTTACAGACCGATGGTCACACCCAGTGGTTTCCAGGGTCTCCGTGAACCGCAGACTGACCCGGTGGCAGCTCACGGCATTCTTAATGCATCAAGGCTAGATAGCTAGCAGTGGGTTTGATAACTCCTCAACTTCTAAATAGCAGTGACACCGTCAGCCGTCCGCCCCATCGGGAGTGTGTGGCGATGGTGGCGGATGGTGCCCTGTGCATTAGCTCTGCTTTGCCGCTCTCAGCTGTCATCGGAGGAACTGACTGGTGAGCTGAAAGGTGTAAACGCTTCCCACCTTTGTCACAGGTCCCTGGGTGCCACAAATGGCCATCCTGGGACCCCAGGATAAAGCCCTAGCCCTCAGGGGCAAGGTTTTGAGCAAAGTTGTGTTATTCCCTGTGCACTCCTGACTCTGACTCTGGCCTTGGGGCAGGGGTGGGGCTGGCGAATGGCTGCCCGGCTGTCTCAGCACAAGAGGATGGGGGCTGGGCCAAGTGAGCAGCAGGCCTGGGGGTTGAGTGGGGGCATTGCCTATGGCTTGGGTGAGGGGAGGGTGGGAGGTAGGCCGCACTGAGGAAGCAGGGAGGGAGACAAGGACAGATAAGTTTCAGGCAGAGCCGCTGGGCAGTGAGGAGGGATCAGGAGGGCAGGCATCTCCCCAGGAGTCTGGCTCAGACCAGCCTTGGCTCTCGGCCGGCTTGGCCGTGGCGTTTTCTTCTTTGAAGCAAAAATCATTCTGTTGCAGATTTTCACTCCTTAATTATTGTTTCAAGCATGCCATGGACGTAATAGTCCCAAGTCTCAGGAGTGGAAATAAAATCTCTCCATCACAGTTCTGACTAAGTGCCTTTCAGATGAGACATGTGACCTTAGGTAGATGCGACTCTCTCTGTGAGCCTTCATTTCAGGGCCAGCGAGGTTCCTGACACCGTCCCCTTATGGAGCTGCAGGGGTGGCGTGCGGTGGTGGTGACGTGGCAGGCGTAGCAGGCCCTCAGCTGATGAGAGCGGCTTGTTCTATGGGCCAAGGCGGAATAGCCAGTCGAGGGCATGCCTGGGATTTGAACCCTGGTCTTCCCAGCTCTACGTCGAGGAGCTTAACCAATCTGTGTTGTAAGAAGAAAGGCCAGAGTGCCCCTTAGAGGCAAGGATGGCAAGACTTCGTCTTACACACTGCGGACATAGTGTCCAGAGCGACCCGTCCCTGCAGGACATCGTGTGCCGTGAAGTGGAGCGGCAGCGAAAGAGAGGAAGCCCCTGGATGAGATGGGCTGGCGGGGTGGCTGGCTCAGTGGTTCAGGCATAGGAGCAACTGGGAGGATGGCAGAGGGGTGCGTGTGCAGTGATTCACTCTGGGGTGCACAGACTCGCTCTGGGTTGGAGCCGACTGACTCCCTAACAACAAGTCAAGGAGAAGCAAGCTGCCGCCTAGACACCGACCAGCGGTCTAGTTTTGTAAATACTGTTTCTTGGGAGCACAGCCCGGCCCCTTCAGTTCGTGCCTTCGATGGCTGCTTCGGGCTCCAAGGGCAGAATTGAGTAGTTGCAACAGAGACTGTAGGAGAGGGCTTCCAAACGTTCATGGAAAATGGGATTAAAAGAGAATGGAATTTCCCAGGAACGTTCTGTAACTCCTGCTATGGCTGGCAGAGCCTGCAGTTTTTACTCTGGTCTTTTAAGAAAAAGAATGTGCTGGTCTCTGGGCTCAGTGGCACTCTCTTTCAGCTTCCCCTGGCTTCTGGGGTCTCTGTGTCTCAGTGAATTTCAGTTTTGTCCTGGAGGCTCAGAGAGATTCGGTGACGGGCCCTGGGTCCCCCAGCTAGATGGGACGGAGCTCCCAGGGCAGGGCAGGTCTCGCGCCAGTGAGGCTCCTGGCTGGGACTGTGGGGGTGTTGCGGGCTCTGGCTCTTGCTTAACGGCGCCTGTGGTGCGCTTCTCTCTTCCAGCTGCTGGCTACCTTCCTAATCCAGCTGGAGAGAAGGAAGGGAGTCCAGTCCTCAGGGATCATGCTCACTTTCTGGCTGGTAGCCCTGGTCTGTGCTGCTGCCATCTTGAGATCCAAAATCATGACTGCCTTAAAAGAGGTAAGTGGTCACCTCCCTCTTCACCACCCTTTAGCGGCCGGGGAGAGATGCTTGTTTCTGTCCATGAGTATTGCAAGCAGGTGTTGCCATGGACACCAAGGGGTGGGTACCACAGGACTGGCTTCCTCCCTGGGGATTTTCCCACATGACTGGGTCTTCATGAAGGGGGCTCCCCAACCTTTGTTCTAGAACCTTCTTGACTCAGGGCTCCCCTTGTCTGTGTAGCTCTGAGGGATCCCATGGGGGCTGTGGGCAAATGCTGTGCTTGTACCCACTGTCAGCTGGAAACAACAAGGCAAGGCACAGCTAAGTGTTCTCAGTGTAGAAGGGAGCCACTGGAGCGGTGTTTGTGGCACGGCTGGTCCCCCAGGGGGCCGAGGCTCGTCCCCAGGTCACCAGCTGCTCCTCTGGCTGGAGCCCTGTTTATATCAGCCGCCTCAGGCTGCGCCCAGTCCTCTGGAAGAACATGCACTTTCCGAGTGGCCTCCTGTTATTCCTGGCCATCTGTGTGCTCAGCAGGCAATGGGAAAAGACACCAAGCATTTTTAAGGAGCCCTGTAACTCATTGGGCTGTGACCCACATGGTCGCCAGTTTGAAACCACCAGCAGCTCTGTGGAAGAAAGACTGGGCTTTCTGCTCCTGTAAACAGTTACAGTCTCGGGAACCCGTAGGGGCTCCCCATGAGTCAGCGTGGACTCGATGGCGGCCAGCTTGGCTTTGGTTACAGTCGACAGGGGTGGGCTCTCCCAGCAGCCCCTTAAATAGTGGTGGCAGTGGTTGTTTCTGAGCTCAGGTTTACAGAGCACCGGACTCACTGTGAATAACTTGGCGGATTCTCACAGCCCGACATCAACCGCCTGAGCGCCAGTGACATCTGGGCTGCGGCAGTCTGGGTGGGTGGTCGGGGTCTGCCCTGCACATGGTTGGATGGGTAGCAGCGTCCCTCGCCTCTACCTGTTAGATGCTAACAGCATCCTCCCCGCCCCCTTAGTTGGGACAACCAAAAATGTCTCCGGCTGTTTCCAAATGTGGCCCCCGCTGACTCTGAGCCCCTGGCGTCTATGAGATATGCCTATGTCTAGATGAGAAACTGAGGCACGGGACAGTTAAGTCGACCGACGAGTTCCCACGGCCAGTGAGAGCCGAGCCAGGCTTGGAGCGGGGATGTTTGATTTGCAGACCCGGGCTCCCTCATCAGGTGGCAGTGAACCGTGGGGGCCCCCACGGCCCCCAGCAAAGGACTGCCTTTCTCCCCGGTGGAGGTGGGGTTGGGAGAGAATGTGCCATCGGAGCCTCTGAACCCTGGTCTCCCGGCTCCTGCAGGCTGCTGCGGGAAGTGACCCTTCTCGCTTCTTCCCTTCCTCCATGTGCAGGATGCCCACGTCGATATGTTTCGAGACACCACCTTCTACGTCTACTTTTCCCTTGTGCTGGTCCAGCTCGTGTTGTCCTGCGTCTCGGACCGCTCGCCCCTGTTCTCGGAGACCATCAGTGACGCGGTAGGTGGGACCGGGGGCTCGCGAGGGAGTGCTGACGGTGTGGTGCAGGAGAGAAGTGTTAGTGCTGGCTACCTGTGCAAGCCGTCTGCTCAGGGTGTTAGTTCCATCTTCCCGGAATTTCCTTCACAGAGAGGAACGCTGAGGCAGAGCCGGACCTGGCAAGGCTCTCAGGGGAGAACCTGCCCTGTGGCACAGCACTGCTGTGTCTTCCAGGACTGCCAGTGTGTCTCACGTGGTTGGAACAGACATTTAGATATCAGGACTTTAAAAAAAAAAATTATTTTATTGGGGGCTCGTACAGCTTTTATCACAGTCCATACATCCGTCCATCGTGTCAGGCGCATTTGTACATTTGTTGCCATCATCCTCAAACATTTGATTTCTACCTGGGCCCCTGGTATCAGCTCCTCATTTTCCCCCCCTCACAACCTGCCCCTCTTCATCAGGATATTTTTACATAATTTACATATTTTACATAAATTCGAACCATCCGGATTTTCTAGAAAATGAGACATTCTGGCACCCTGGGGAGTGGGCGGGATGTGTGTGTGTGTGTGTGTGTGTGTGCATAATCCCACACGGCAGCTGTTGGCCTGATGCCAGTGCACGGATCAGTAACGTGACATCTGCCTAGACACACGGAGGGCATCGTGACACAGAAGCACAAGGTGGAACACTTCAGGGTGTGTGTGAGGGAGACCTGTTTACATACGGGCCAGGCCTCTGTGACAACAGGACTTGTTCACTCATGCATGCCCTGCAGTGGGGCACAGGGCTTCTCGTGGCTGTAGGAAGGCTACCTGCTGGGGGTCTAGACACAGACCACCTCCCCTGCAGAAGTTACCAAGGAACAGTTTTGCAAATGGTGCGAGCCAGGGGAAAGCAAGCCGCAGTCCCGTTTAGCCTCACAAGCCTGCTTCCCCTTCCCCGGAGCTGAGGAGAATTGCTCTAGTTCGCTGCACTCCCCACCACCGTCTTAAACCACCTTGCCCCTGACTTTCACGGTGAGGGGAATTTTGTCTGAGCAGCGAGGCATCAGTGAGCCGGTGGCATTAAAGGGGACACAGCCAGCACTCCCCTTCTGCCCTCGCCTCTGCCTCTTCCCCCTGTTGTCTGCCTTTTCTCCGTCCTTCCTGTTCTCCTCCCCCTCTTCTGTTTCCCTCCACCCTTGCTGTCTGTCCATGCACACCGGGAGTACCATGGGCCCAGCACGGGGCTGACCCTCAAGGGAAGCAGAGCCCCTCCCTCTCATCGGAGGCGGCCTTTGTTGGAGGGGAGGTAAACCATGACCTGGCACTAGGTGTGTGTCACAACAAACAAAACCAAAAACCAGACCAGCCGCCATCGAGTTCAGCCACAGCATCTGGGGAGGCCCTGCAGGTCAGAGTAGAACTGGGTTCCACAAGGCTTTCTTCCCAGGATTGATTTTTATCGGAAGGAGACTACCAGGCCTTTCTTCTGAGGTGCCTCTGGGCAGACCTAACCCTTCCACCTCCAGGGTAGCAGCTAGGCGCCTGAGTTATTTGCACCACCTAGGGACTGCTGCATTTTGCGCTGAGAGCGGCCAGGACAGCCTCCCCGAGGAACGCCCATCTGAGCAAAGCCCCAGGGAGCAAGGGAGCCGGTTGAGCAGATACCTAGAGAAGGAAGGAAGGGCAGGTGCTCCTGGAATATTGAGGGAGTGGCGAGGATGTCCAGCGGGCAGGGCTTCAGGGCAAGTGGGGAGGAGGGGGGCCGAGAGATGGAGCCTTCCTGCCTGGTGAGCCTGGATTGTACTCTCTGACCAGAGCTTGGGGGTGTTTATCAGACCCTCTGTTGGTGGCCAGCCAGCTGTGCATGGGCGAGCTTGCTGTGGGAACCCTCTCTGCTGCTGTAGTCAGTTGGGTTTGGCACCTACACCTCCGTGTGGGGCCGAAGCTTGCTCTGTGGGGCCTGGGAGGACCCATGGGCAGTTGGTGTAATGGAGAAGGTGGGCCCCAGCCAGGGGATT